TCGTTCCCCACAAGCCATACTGTACCCGGAATCTTTGTTTGTCGCCCGAAAGCACGTTGGTGAAGACGTGACGCACAAACAGTTACGGCATGGGGAACAAAGGCAGTGAAGGCAGGGCAAACTGCACTGGAAACAAGTGACAGAACGCAATGGAGTGAGTAAGTGTCAAAACGTTTGGCAAACTTGTGGTGCGTGCAGGGTGCCTGAAGTTCACGGTCTATGCTTTTCAGGTGACGTTACATGACTCATATCCACACCAATCGTTCAATTGCAGCTGTCGGATGTAGACAGGCGCAATCTCGGATCAAGTTCCCTTCAAACTGTCATCGTGGTGGCGGTGGTTGTCGGTTTTCGTCTATTGTTTTCCTTTTCAACATTGTTCCACGCTGTCATGGTTTTGTGTGCGTGGATTTTTTTTCATATTTGCGCTGCGTTTTCTCGCGCGCTCCACCGTTCGCCGCCGCGTGCCAGCACTGCTCCATGAGTCAAGTGCAACCTGCCACTGGGAAGCGGTTTTCGCGAAGGAAGCAACTTCAGAGTTGTCTCTGGAGGGTGGTGGCTCTGATTTGGTTCGCGCTGCCCTTGGACAGAGCAGGGCACTGGGCCAGCTAGTTGGTCACATTGCCAAGTCGGTAAGGTTGGTGGCCACCTGCACCATCTGCACCACTTCCACACTGCCAGCGATCCCACGACTCCCGATGGCACGGTGCACAACTTTGAACGGATCGAGCAGTACTTGCCCCAAATGTGTTGGGAGTGTTTTCAGGAGAACCTCTTGGAGTTTTGTTGAAGCCTTTCGCTCCAAAAATTGAACCTTAGTCTCAGACACACGTGGAAGGAATGAACTCGGATGAATCTTGGATGTTGTTTTGGTCAATGATGTTAATGTATGTTAATGTGCCAGTACAATTGGCACCTCGGGCACCTTTGATGTCCTGACATGTGCGTGGATGTGGCCGTTTGCTGGCTCTCAGCTGTTTGAGCGTGTGTTCCGCCCACGCGCCGGAGACATGTCGCACAGGGTTCAGGTGGTTACGAAGCATGTGCTGGCGCCGGCGCCCGTCGCTAGTAAAGAGGCGGCGGACAGATGCCACTGAAACGTTGAATTGCAATCAGGACTTGGACGGTCCAAGGAACTCGATATTCACACCGTGTTTCATTGCGTTGCACAGCGCAAGTATACTTTGTGTTATGATATATGGTTGTTTATGCCATTGCCTTGATGTACTTATCACCCCCTGCCACCTGCAACACCGAGCGACAACCAAAAATCACGAAAGGTAGCGGAACAACAATTAATTATCCGACATTTCATTTTAGAGGCCGGGGGGGGGCCCACCCCCCTCCCCCCTTTCAACTCCACCGTGGCGCGGCTCTTTGTCAACGGCCACAAAACACCATAATACCAGCGTTTTCAGCCAACAGTACCTCCAAACCACGCAATTTACATGGTTTTCTGCGCCTGTCCGGCCAAAAACCTCGTAAAAACCGATTGTTTTTGGATGTTTTTGGTGTCTAAGCTTGAAAAATGGTCGCAAAATTGCCAAAAAATTGTCGGAATGGTAATTTTCGGTGTTTGGAGGCTTCTAAGTGGCACAAACCGACGGTATTTACACGGGTTTGTGCACCTTCCCGGCACAGAACCCTGTAAATTGCGATGGTTTTGGGCTGTGTATGCTTCAAAGTGGCCACAAAACACCGTAAATACGAGTGTTTTCGGCTCCTCCTGTCTTCAAGAGTGGCCTCAAACCACGCTATTTGCAGGTTTTTTGTTGCGGAACGGGTTTTTTCGGCGCTTGGAGGCTTCAAAATGGCACAGAACGACGGTGCTTACGCGGGCTCGTGCGGCTTCCTGGCGTAAAACCTCGTAAATTGGGATGGCTTTAAGCTATGTACGCTTCCCGTCAACTCCACCCTGGCGGGGGTCTTTGTCAATAGCTATAAAACACTATAAAACACTGTCAAAACCTGTGTTTTCAGCCCCTCCAGTTTGCAAGAGTGGCCTCAAACCACGCAATGGACAGGGTTTTATTTCTGTGGCTGTCCGGCCAAAAGCCTCGTAAAAAACCGATGGTTTTTCAAGTGTCTAGGCTTCAAAAATGGTCGAAAAGTACTTGGTGCTTCGAAAAGTGGTGCTTTGCCTTAACTTTCAACAGGGGGCCCTGACCTCGGTTACGCCTGATTCCCTGCTACCTTTCGTTCACCCCCTCCTCTTTCAAGTTCCACATGATCCGCCCTAGAAAACACACATTCGTTCAATACGAAGTGAAAGTGTGTGTGTGGGGGAATGTCTCATCTATCCCTAGCAAGTATGCAAAACAACCATTCATGTATATATATATATGACAGATCAAGAATCCGACATTTCAAGATCAACCGCTCTGCAGTTTGCCGTGTACGAGTCTGGCACACACTTTGGCGTGACGCCTGACTATGAACACAAGTGCCTGGGCGTTCTGGAGTTCGGGTTCCGTTGGGCAAAACGTTCCTTGCAGTACAGTTCCGACGTGTTGCCAGGGGATTCTTTTTTGATGATCGGTTTGTTTTGGTGCATATCACAATCAGGGTTCTTCAACGGCATGGCTGTGGACGGGCAGTGGGAACACCACATGGCTCGTTTGCTGGGCCAGCCGCACGGCCTGCGTTGGGTGCTTCTTCACCCTACCGCCGGAGGTAGGAGTCAATGAAAGGTGGGTGAAGGAAACCGCTCCTAGCGTGGCCCTGATTGTTTGGGGGATACTTGTTCCTGGTCAATTTGTTGTGTTTTACACTTTTAAACATGGAAGATCGTTGAGAACTGACATGTTTTGGTCTAAATGAGTGTTGCCAACCAGTTACGTTCAAGCTGGGCCCCATGCCGCGTATGCATGCCTTATGCGTTGTGAACTTTGTTCACCTTCGCGTTGCTTTGTGACGTCCAACACGTCGTCCGTCGTGTTTGGGGTTTGGGCGGCGGGCTCTAAGTGCAGGTGGCCCTTTCCAGAGGCTGGCCCCCTGGCCGAGAAGAGCGCTCCGCCGGGGCACCCGCCGCACCGACGGGTGTGTGTGGAAACGAGAGGAGAATCGGAGCGGAGAGCCGAGGGGAGCTGCGCGGCGAGTTGAGCGAGAAGAAGTGAGGTTGGTTTTCGTGACCAGGGTGACCAACCGCTGCGGTATTCCGCCAGAAGTGAAACCGGCAAACACGCATGTCATTGACCAAGTTTGAAAGTTTGGGACGTCATGAATCTACGGACCACAAGGCATGCGACGTCATGCGACCAAGGCCAATGTGTTTCCCCATGATGCTAGAGCAAGCATGCCAGCGTGTGGGCAAGGACCCGAGGGCCCTGGAGGCGAGTTCTTTGGGATGTGCAGTCAAAATCAAGGCTCAACACACAGTCCAAGAACGTTGGTCGCCCGCGTGCCGTTTTCTTTAGTTGTTCCACATTTGGACCTTGCCGGGACAAGTGTTGCTTTGTGCAATGATAGGTGCAAGTAGACCAGGCATTCTTTATCAGCGTGTGGTCAAACAATGGCCAACCCAGCCCTATAAGGTCCAAGTCCTTTTGGTGGCTGTGGTGGCAATCACTTTTGGAAGCCCAACTTTGTACGGTTCTCATGTACTCGGTGTGTGCCGTCCACCAAATTACGGTTGACCAGGGCACTCAGTTATTAATTTCATTTAACCCGAAGAATGCCAGAGGATGGGATTTAATTGGTTTACTCGAAGTGTGTGTTTGATCAATCAGGCACATGATTTTTTGGTGAAACATAATCAAAAGGTCGCGGAGATGTTGGACTCAATTCATCATCAAGATGAGGTAGGCCATCACACAGAATTGATAACACCTTTTTTCGGCTGACTGGAGCACCAAACTATGGGCAGTTGAGTACTGAGTACTGGATCAAACCGTGCAAGGTTATCACGACATTCAAGGTTGAGTATAAAGACCATGGGAAGAATCTGATGGCGGAATAGGGCAAGGGAAACCCCAGCCTTACTAAAACCACCGATCGCAAAACAATATTTCGGGCGGGTGTGCCTTTGGAGGGGGGGGTGGGCTAATTTGGTGGTCAGGCTACAGGTTTGGCATGGTTTGGGAACATGAAGGGACCAGGCTGGAAGCACATGAATCACAGCGATGTGAACGTGTTCCATTCTGGGTGAGACCCCCATCCTATTAATGGGTGTGTTTTGTTTCATTTGCGGGGCGTCAGACGAACTGGGAGACGATGTCACAGACGAGGACAATGTTCAAAATCAATGTGAAGGGTTTGCGAGTACACGCCTAAATTTGAAGAACATTCATTCATTCAGGCCCAAGCTACCCCTTGATACATTTTGCAAACACCTTCACCTTCTATGTTTTTCTCTATTGATATTGAGTGGGGCCTTACTCAGGCCCCACCCGACGTGGGGGTCGTCGTCGTTGTACTGATGAGATCCTGGAGTTGTAATCGTCCATGCATGTTGCTGTTCCCTATGTATCGTGCATTTGGCTGGACTATATTTTAGTTTTTTTGGTACTACGTAATGTTTAGATCTATGGTCGATATTGTATGGGATCATCTACGATCGTGACCCCACAGATCGAAAAGACAGAAGTCGCACATCTCCGATCAGCTGAAGCAAGTTTGCAGCGATCAAACTCCCAGAATGCGGAGAACATTGGCCCGCTGCCACGTGCCAAGTCATTTCAACATGGCGACTCTGAGAGGTAAAACACCATTGGACAAGGTCCATTCATTGGAGAATGTGTTCCCACTGGTTGCACACAGGGTGTTTCTTATGCCGCTGCACGGGTCTGCACGGTGTCGCTGGTGTTCCCACCCTCCACTTTGTGAAAGCTGGTCAAGGACCATCTCTTTTATTGAGAAGGACCATCGTTCCCAGGTCAAGGTGCCGACTGCGAGAGTTGGAGCACCACCAACTTCCCAAGAGAGAGTGAAGTGGCTACTATATACCCAAACAATCCGTGTATGACATGCACACCTACATTGACCCCGTTTCAACCACCCAAATGTATAGGCATATACCGGATCTTTTGCCATACATTGAGGAGTGTTTGGGTTTGGGATGGTTCACCCGGAATTCCATCCTGGGAAGCCTCCATCCTTGGGCCTTCGGAAGCGAAACGGCAGCGGTGAAGGAGTTTGCCTTGGCGGCTGAGAAGCCGGTGCCACACGTCCTGCGCCCTGGTGAAGCTCCATCCTTGCCATGGGAGGTGGGACCAAAAGGAAGGGTGGAACTGGAGAGGCGTGAGGCCAGCGTTGCCCAACTGCGTTGGTTCAAACGCAACGTGGGACCTTTTCGCTCTAACTGGAAGTCCTAAAAATCAACAGCAGCAGGCCTGTAGCTAGTATGGCGCTTGTTGGACAGCTCGGCCGATGCCCATCGCCAACTGGTGGTCAATCCATCCTGGAATGTTCACTTGGAGGTCACAAAAAAGAAGTAAAAAGCACCAAGGCAGACCAATTTCCACCTGAGCCTTCCCTTTTTCTTGCCGGCGTTCCCCGCAGGAATGGAGCAAATGGACCTGGAAGGACTATTATGAAGACTCGAGGAAGCTTGCCAAGGCCTTCATGCAGCTCCTTAACTGAGTTTGGACTAGTTTGGCTGCGCCATGGGCAGCCTGGATGCTGACCCTTTGGAAGATGGAAGGGTTTTACCCTGAAATGTTTGTGGGGTAGACTTGCACACACTTGATGAATCTTGAAGACTTGGGGTTCGTAGCCCTCACCAGCACTGCCACCTGCAAGCAGCGCCACCTGGCCGCTGACTCGGCCTCTGAGTTTCGGTGTGGAGCAGTTCGGGAGCGTCACTATCTTCGGTTTCAATGTCGCGACCTCAGAGACCAGGGCGACCAGCGAAGGGGCGGGCGATCAGGAGTGACCAAGAGCACATCCATCCCCCCAGGTGCCAGGTGATGAAACCAGTGATGAAACCTTGGGTCATGTTGCATCCCTTCTTGTGTCACCATGTCATATCACGCATGTCATATCCCACCACAAATGGCCCTCCGACTGCCCGGTCAGCCGGACTGCCCCGGACTGTCCCGGTCCGCTCAGGCGCCGGAGTGGGCCTTGAGCGCCATGGCGGCGATGATGTGCGGTGGCCGGGGCTCCCGGATGGCGCGCCTGCGGGGGCTCTCGAGCGATGCATCGCCACCGGGCCAGGTCGATTGCTTATGGATTTGCATTACAACTTATGTAACTTATGTATAGTCAGAAACCTCCCAAAGACTCCCTGGAAGAAGGGAGAGTGGACCGTTGGTGGCAGAGTGTCTCCCTAAACAGCAAACCCGCAGATTGACTCAAGAAGCGACGCTTCTTGTAAGTCACGTGATTGGTACGGCCATGGTTTTGGCAATACCGTGATGCCGGACCTGTTTGCGGGAATGGTCGGTCAGGGTTTCATTGGTACTCAGTGAACTGTGAAAGAGATTGATGAAAGTGGCAAGCACTGTACTCCCAAGCATTTGATGCATCCAGATACGAAACCAAAGATGAAACGTGGAAGGCATGAGCCCTTGAAAGACTGATGGTGAACATTTCTATTTCTTGTTCACCATCATTTTAGTCCATACACACCAGTCTTAGTCTTAGTCAAGTGGAAGGCAGGAACTCAGCAACTGTGTATAGACTATAGGAATTTTGTTCATGTTTGTTCCCCTTCCATGCGTGCGGGAAGTGTCAACGTGGCTTCACTCGCCGAGGCAAGTTCGTTGGGATCTATTCCACCGACACGGCCGAGCAGGTGGCTTGGTGGAAGAACATGCCAACTGCTGCAGCTGGAGCCAGACGTTTGGTTGTAAAGTGTTTTTGTGGATGTTGACAGGCCATGGAAACATGATATAGAAATTACTTGTCAAGGTGTCATTCCATGATAGTAGCTGATTCCGCAGCACCACCGAGGCAGGCGGAAATGGCCACAGAATTGCATGTTTGATTTGTTGGTTGTCAACTTGAAACAATGAATAGACATCATAGTGGCATGGTCCTGGAATTGCCGAGCGCATTTGATGTGATTAGGACCAAGCATTTTGGAAAAGTTCCAATTTAAACATGTTCTCGCATTCTGGTTGAGGGATCCGGTTTGGGTCGTCCCAACCGGTGGAGAACGTCTCACCCACATCCGGTATCATCCGGTCTTCCCTTGCAGCGACTCCAACGAGGTGCAATACAAGGTGGATCACTCCAATGCTGCAGCGGCTCGTCATTAAAGCAAGGTGCTTCCGAGGGAGTTGGAACACCTCCAGCGGGTTGAGGGTTTAAAGAGAGTGAAAGAGGTGTTTGAAAGGTGTGAGTTAGCCTGGGGGCTCTATGATCTGTTCTTACACTCCGGTGAGTTGAGTAGATGAGTTCATGAATGTCCACAAGTTGAAGCAAGGAGGGGTGTACTGGTGTACTGTGAATGTTTTATCTCCTGCTGTTCCAATACATACCGGGCCGTTGCAGGTGTCCTTATTCCTTGACCTAAGTACAGTAGTGTTGTAAAAAAATCGCCCCCCAAAAAACATATTTCAACCCTTGGTTGCGTTCCCTGGCCACTCGCACGCGGCCACTCCGACGCCCAGGTGATGGTGGTGGATAGCCACGCGGAGTTCGCGGCGACGGTGGCATACATCGAGGCTGCGGCGTCCGGACGCCGACGTTCGAGTCGGGACCAGACGTTCGCCCTTGGGGTTCTGCGTGAAGGTTGGCAGAAACCCCCAACTGCCTCAAGGCCCACATTGGGGTGAATGAATCCCGGAAACCTGGGAATTTCGGGCCGCATGTTTGGGGATCGACCGTTTTTCGGATGAGCCAATCACGCTTCTCGACCTGTTTTGGATTGGCCACGTAGACCACGGTCCAAAGCCCATCGAGTCGAACAATTGAAGCGAGCGGAACGTTGGCCCTTTATTCTAATACATGCTTCAAGTGGAGGAACATCCATGGATTCCATATGGGTTCCATATGCAATGGTTTTCCATAATATGGCTAACCGTCAACCGGTCCAAGGACACTCTTTGAGTGCATGGTCAAAGAGTGGATGGCATCAGTTATGATTCAGCAAATGGTCCCTGCCTGTCTTGGCAGAGTTTGCTTGGGCCCCAGAGCCAGGACAGAAGATACAGAAGAATTGAGGGCATTGCCCATGCAATGGGTGATCGAATTTGATATGTCACTCCCCAACATCGAAGCCGGATCCTTTAAATGTTCCGCTGGGCTTGGTGTACCAATGTGCTCCTTCGACCTGGCCAGGAGTTGACTTGCCTCAATGCCATCTTTTGTTGGGGAACCTTCGAGCCTGCGGTCCTCAAGCGGCCCCTTGGCACGCGCAAGGCCGCAATCGCGCGGGAGAGATTTATGATGATTTATACGTTGGTGCCTCACCGGCGACGCCCAGGAAGGATGGCAGCGAGTGTAAGGTCATGTCCTTCAAGGAGCATTGAATTATGGCCGATGGAAGTGCCGATGGAGATTTCATGTAATTGGGCAAGGGGAATTGAACAAGGTGTACAAGAAGACGAAGACCTGAAGTTTGTGCCCTCATACCCCTTAAGGGCCGGGTCGATCACCACCAGAGAAAACTTCTGATTCTGATGGGCGGAAACTTCATATGGTTCTCACCCGGGTGCTTCAAAGCGAATTTCCTCAAAGCTTTGGGTCGCTGGTCGCGTGGTCAACGGCTCGATTCCGATGCGTCTTCCATGGGGCGCTGGCACCCAGATGTACAAAGCCACAGTGCCCAAGATGAATGAGCTGAATGATCTGAATGAACCATGGAGATTTGGGGACTGTGGCATACTGTGACTTGCTAATAGGGAATGGATGAATTGGATGTGAATCCTCCTTCGGCACATTGGATGGATTTATATAGATTTAGAATGATTCGGAGCATCGTAACAAGGACACTATCAGGTAGAGGCCATCGCAAGCAGGTTGGAGGCCATCGCTACGAACGTAACAAAGAAGGCTAGTATACCAGGAGTCACATGTCGGGGTGGTTTCTAGTCCCTAAGTGAGTGGATAATGGGGACCCCTATCCTCCAAGTTCGGCACCCCGTTTTAGTCTTGTGACTCCGGCAGGAGGCCTTGCAACTCGGCGAGTCTCAGGGCTCCGATGAGGCCTTGGCGCAGCGCATGCAGGCGCCGGGCATGCGACCGATGTGACGCCATTGGAGACTGTTTGACCGATACCGCGGACGGCATGTCTATATAGAGACATAGACATGATGGAATGCCACCAGTAGTGCCACCTGACGTGTTTTCTTTGGGTTTTCTTCTGGGTCAAGCACAGGTGAGTTTGGATGGAACAGGTTCAGGCCTCCGGACAGGGGTTGGGGTCTCAAGTTGTCGGCTTTGAGACTGGGTCTCAACAATCAGGTGCTAAATGGACAAAGAAATGCAAAAAAAAGAGTTTTTAAACACCTGAGGGTCCCAACAAATACATCCAGATGTTAGTGGTGTTTCTTAAAAAGGCCTGGGTGTATTTGGTTGGTTCACCCAGGCGGGTCTGGGTCCCATACATCCCCGGTTCTACATCCTCACCTGCACGAGGCCATGAGGCCGGGCCACGCCATGGGGATCATCTACACCTCTGGGACCACCGGGCAGCCAAAGGCGGCACCGCGGCGAGAGGGTGAGGTTCGGTTGGGCGGAACACGGTGGAACATGGCGAAACAAGGGGAGGATGGGAGAGGGGAGGGTATGTGTTGCTGCTGGAAGAACATCCCAGAACCTTCGATACAGAAGCGCTCAATCGCTTGTAAGTCGCTGGCAAGCAGCACAAGGTGAACCCGCTTCTGGGATATTGTTTGGTTCTTTTTTGTCCAACTCCTTTAGCGAATCCAAGAGAGCATCGTGAATCATGAATCATTACGCTATACACCGTTGACCTTTAGCCCTTCCAAATGACATGGATATGCTGGCAACCCTGGTGGACTATTTGGCACTCGCAAACTGAAAGATCATCATTTTTCCATAATGGTCTCCATCTCCGTGTGTCAGTTGCACTCGCCCATTTGGCGCTCTGCAAGCCGCTCGACCGACTTTGGCCCAGACCCTCCTGACCCCTTGAGCGACTCGCGCGGGTTCCAAAATGAGCAATCGGGCTCAGGTCATGATCCATCACGACTCCGCAGTGGCACAGGGGGCCATCGGCACCTTGGACAACACCGGCGTGCTGGATGGCGCCTCGGCCTCCGTCGGAGCCGATCCGGTTCGCCGGTCGGCCGGGACACAGGGAAAGAAGGAGATCAAATGAATCAAATGTGGCCAGTACTTAGACCAGTAGACCAGTGTAGATCTCGTAGGCCAGTCGACCAGTCGGTTCGTTTCACCCTCGACCAGACCTTTCGTTCGGGACCATCGACCCGTCGACCCCGAGAGTTTGGTTTGGCGACCGTTTTCAGCGACGTCGTGAAGCGACCACCTGCGGTGCCGTGTTGAGTGGCAAAAGGTCAAGAGCCACGTGGCTGGATTTGGATGGTTGTGCAGTGTGAGAGCCCATGGCACAATGATGTTTTGTGTTGGGCGACGGATCAGAGTTGCGCCAGCGGCACCGGATTCACAAAGTGAGTCGCTGTCGTCAGACTGCGCCACCAGTTTCATCCAAAATTAACTACACTCTGAACGAATTGCTTTCAGAGTGTTCCTTTCCCAGCTTAATACGTGTCAGGTGTGTGCCAACTTTGATTGATGCGAGGCTGCACCACCCATCAAAGCTTACGATAGACAATGCATCTTCCGGGAGGCTCTAATATGGGATCTCCTGTGCACAGGCCACCTTGCCAAAGGTCAAACCTTGCACCCAGTGAAGTCAGCATGCAGAAGGAAGTGGAGGATAGGCCCTTCCTGAAATGCATGTTGATTACCAGGTTCCCCGGAGCCCACCCATGCTTCAGCTTCCAACGTTGATTGCGGTGGGGTGGATTTCCGCTTCCAATGCCAGTCCGCACGCGTTCCGCACCCGAATGACCGGACGGACCCGGCAACTCTGAGGATACCCCGCACGAATCATTTCATATTTGCCTTTATCACACATTGCCGGGTCTTTGATGGACCTCTTGCTACTTGGCCTAGTACTGGGATGAGAGGTCTCCTCTTTCAGGAGCGCTGAGTTGACCAGGAAGGACCCTTCAAGCTTTCAGGAGCGCTGAGTTGGAGTTATGGAATAAAGATGGACAAAGTAAAACTGACGTTCTCGGACTTGAAGGGCCCCCCCATCACTGTGTTACTGAATATACCAAAACCACCCGACAAAAAACAACAATAGGGGATCCCGCGATTTCAGTTCTAAGTCTATATCACGGTATGATGGGCGGTACCTTCGAAAATTAATCCAGGGGTACTCGTACCCATGAGTTCATGGATTATTTGTTGGATTAAACATGTGCTGAGGTATGCAACGGTCCCCGTGGACCTTGTACCTAGATTATTTTTATCAGAGACATGTTCATGGTTTTAGAAAGAGACGTTTTCTACAGGATTATGCATGTGAAATCCATGTGCATGGATTAATACTGTACATTTTATATAAAAATAATCTAAGTGTCGTCCACTTGTTGTATTAATTTCTGAAAACTAACTGGAGACTATGTGGATTATTTTCTACAGTAAATTAATCCAGGGGGTCTGGACGGGGGGGTATCTAAGGGACCCGCCATACGGTATGCGGTATATCATGTTTTTAGATGTTTTTAGAAGTTCTGTGGCAATGCCGCAAGGTCGTTTGCCAGTTCATTGGCACAACGATTGGAAAAGTGAGTGCCAGGATTCCAAGTTTTGACTAGCCGTCCCACGGGGATGATGGGGCCTGCCTTTTGACTCAACTAGTCACTAGTCCTTGTGGGTTATATTATGTTTCATGCCTCTTTTTGCCATCCATTGTCAGTCTCGATATGGCAACCTCAGCCATCTTCAGCTTCCTGAGGTTTCCAGTTTACATGGCCTACACGAAGAACCTTCACAGTGGCTCGACGAAGTCCTGCGAACGCACAGAGCCTGACAGGTTTCTGAAGCCTTCATCCCTGGCCTCAGAGCCCCACATCGCTCATGAGCATTGTACCATCGCTCTCGACAAGCTCCGATGCGAAGACATCCTTTGCGAAGACATCTCATGCCGACGGTTTTGAGCATGTTCCTTTAGGCGTGTAGCAGCTACAGTTTTCATCCAACACCCACGGAGCCCCTTGCATAGTCACCAGCATGGATCCTTTCAAGACACCAGGCACGGTGTACTTCGCTCGGCCCTATGATTTGAAAGAGATGACCCTGGCAGCTCGCCTCCAGTCTCTCGGCTCTAAGCCTCAGATCGGGAGACGAGGGCCTCTCAACGTAGGGGTTTTGGGCCCGGCGTTTGTTCCCGCCGCAGCCTGAGCGTTTGGGGGGGAGCAACCCAACGCAGGGTTCTGGTCTGGTCATCCTTGTTCTTTTGGAAAGGCACGCAATGTAACCAAAGACCTGTGCACACATTGCACGAGACAGCATAGGTATGCATATATAGACTATAGATGTTCCAGTGGAATGCCCCGTCAATCATGTGTCGATTTTGGACGTTTGTTTTGAACACGTGAATGCAGCTGCCGGCTTAGGTGTGAAGCATCGCTTAAAGTGAGTGTGTTAAAGGATAATAATAATAAGCTTTGCATAGCTTTGCAAACATATGGGGAAACATAGAGAAACCCTGGTGGCGGGATACCTCTGGGAATCTGCATGCCAACATGCTTTTGAACATGCAGCCTATATGCTTTGATATGATCTAGAAAGATCCAGGGCCTCATCATCAACATGATCGCCACTGAAGTGTCACCACCCCATCTCCGTCGTTTCGCATGATGCATCATCCATGATCCACGCAACGACACTTGGCACCGACGGGAGCACTGCACTGAGAGGTTCGTGCGACCGACGATCTTCCTGGGTGTGCCACGGGTCTATGAGAAGATGCAAGCGAGGATGATGGCAGTGGCCTCCACCATCACAGGTGGGCAGGAATCATGTGCAAGAGTTGATGTCCTTGGAGTGAATGTTTATGCATGTTTACCGATCCAGTGGCCACAGATAAAATGTTTGGCAAGTTTTTTCTTTTTTTTGTGTGTGTGTGTGGGGTTATGTCTATGTGACTATAGGTCAACCCCACCTGGTCCATGTCACAGTCGCTGAGCATAGCGATTGAAGCACTGAACAACAACAAAGAGCACACCGCCCAGGAGGTAGTCAATGTTCCCTTCACATTTGATCAGGTTTGTGATTATAACTAATATATGGCAGTTTTGTTCGTGGCCCGGTTGACAGAAAAGCCGAAAGGGTTTGCAGTAGCATAGGTGTTTCCACGACTGGAGGGCTGCAAAGTGTTCCTACAGTAGGAGTTTCATGCAAGCCATAGGACTATGGGCGCTGGTCATTGACCGGAGGCCATTAGTACATGCCAGTCTCCCTCGGATTTCCTAGCTGAAGGCATCAAGAAGTCATTGGCAACCTGGGCCAAAGGAAAAGGCTTGGAGTACTGCAGGAACTTGCAGGCGGGCCGAAGGGGAAGGCAAGAAGGGGTCGACGTATGGAAGAAGCTGAAGAAGCTGGCACACTGCTTCTCGACTGATGGACTTCAACGACTCCTTTCGAACCCGGATATTTGGGGCAACAACTACTGTATGGCAACCTATCGAATGTGATCGATTTCAAATGGTTTCACGTAGCCGGGAGGTACGCAAGCCAAGAGCACCCTCTCCAATTGACCTGGAATCAAGTGCTTCGCAGCTACTGAGTTACCAGCGCACCCTCACCCACCTTCACCAACCAATGTATACACCGTTTTATAGTTGTTATATATATATACAAATACTGTAACTATATATATCTCTATACAGTATGTATATAAGCGTCGAAATGGCCTGCAGCTTTGCCACAGGCGGGTGGCTCCAGGTCCAAGCCCTTCATGCACACCATCGCGGCCGGCTGGGCGGGTGGAGCGCAGGGTGAGGATGCAATGTGTTGGTGTTTGGCTTCAGAGGTCGTCAGACTTTGAGAAAACATGTGAAAGCAAGGTAACTTTTTGGTCTTGGGTGATGGTTTTGGATCCACACTTCGTAGCATGTTTGACGTGCTTGGTGTACTTAAATATGACGTCTAAAAGGAACTAAAGGAACCCGTGCACGCCTGGTCGTCAGTGTTTTGTGGTTTATTAAGCGCGGGCATTCACCGCGGCCCTTTATTCCTGGTATCGGGCCCCACGCTGCCAAGGACAAGCTGGTCTTGTCGAAAGCCAGAGAGGCTTTGGGGCTAGACCAGTGCAGGATCTTCATCGCAGGAGCGAGATGTCACCGGGTGACGGTGATGATACACATACATCCCAACCGGTCCCAACCTTTATCTAACGTTATTTAAAGATCAATCCTTAATGTTGGGTGTTCTGTGGTCTATGTTTGGCCGTTCGTCCACTATGTCGATGTTTAAGCCGACAGCCTAGAAGGGTGATCTTAATCGATCTTAATCGCTTTATCCATGTTGTTTGTCGTAGGCTCCGTGACCATCGTCCGGATCCATGTGTTTCGGTCATATGCGGTTGATGGGCGTGCAGACTTATATAGATGGATGGGAAGTCATTCAGCACTAGCTCCATTCACGAGATATTTTTGTGTTCCTTTTTGGCATGGCGCATGTGCCCGAGGCCAAATGCCCAATGTTCGACAAGAAAGGGGGGAGTTGCATGTGTCACCTCCAGCACAAGCACCCCAAAGTTAAGTTCCCGAGTCTGCCCTAGCACTTTCTTGCAGGAGCTGCACCCATCTCTCGGGAGACCTTGGAATACTTCGGCCAGCTGGGGATGATGATCCAGAACGCCCCTCGCACGCAGATGCGTGCAGATGGTGTGCATGAGATTGTGTAAGCAACAATGTTTTCGATTGGCGCGACTTTGTCCTCAGGTCTATGGCATGAGCGAGTCTGCAGGTATTGCCACCCTGTGCCACAAGGACTTCAATGAGTTTGGCAGCGTTGGCCAGGCACAGGGGTGGAGATTCTGAAAGTCTTTCAGGATTTACCCTTTCAGCATGCTGGGCATACTGCAGCCCCCAAAAACGAGATCAGCATGTGCTTCTTTCACAAGCTGAGCTACGTTCGTATGCAGATGAGTCCACCCATCATTGGCAGCCGTTGTGGAACGCGTGTTCTCACCAAAAGAGGAGGCGTGTTCTCGGGCTTCCGTTTCATGGAATCCTGCGAGTTCGTTCAGGCGCCGGAGGGTTTGGAGGTCAAGCTCTTCAAGACGGGAGAGAAGGGAGAGAACATCGAGGTGCGAAGTACCGGTGCGAAGAACTGTTCGTTTGCCACTGGCGCTGCGCTGGCGACGGATGTTTGGTCCAAGCAGCAATTGGACCGGGAAGGGCCGCTGCAACACGGAGTGGCGGGGGCGGGGACTTGCCCAGCCCGAATCCTTTGGACGGGTTTCGGTTTGGGGCTTTAAATCCGGTTTTGACGGACCAAGGTCTGCATGGTCTGTTGGGAGCGTTTAGGTGTTTGATTTCATGGAGCTTATCTCTGCACTGGAGAGCCTGGAGAGCCCCAACCTTTTTAGGGGTTCGAGACCATCTCTCACCTTTCCAGGGGGTCAGATCCGGAACACTGACTGTCCGGGACATCCAGGGCCTAAGAGGGGGTGTGCGTGTTTGTGTGTACTTAACACCCGTCGCCAGGGACACAATACTTCAATTTTATTCAATTTTACTGTACATAGCTCCGCAGGAGGGCAGTGGACCACTATCACTCACTGCCCAACGAAGACAGTGATAGATTGGCCTTGACATCCAGCAGGGACTCCTTCCAGACGTGCCTGCTTCGATCATGTGATGAACAAAAATTACTGTTTCTCGGACTCTTTCACCGTTCCGTTGTGAGCAGGGCTGTTGCAGGTTTTCAGGTCTTCAGCGCTCTAATTGTAACCTAGAGTTCTACTGCATCACCGCGAAACTCTGAATTTCTGCTCTTCCGAGCTCCTTTCTGAAGTGTGTGCCGCTGCTTATTCTTCCCATTGTGGTAGACTGTGTGATGCCCATTATTGTTTCTTTACTCCTGTGCATAGGAGAGGGTTTCCTGAATGTCCTTTTTGGACCAACTTCCCGCGCACAATCTCTTGCTCGAATCAAATCTTTGAATGTGGCTCACCCTCTGATTTTTTTGAAATTATGCTGCCAAGCCACTGCAACATCGCAATTGAAATCGTTTCACAACTTCATGTTCCAAATTATGGTTCGAAACACACCCAGATTTTTGCAGTCGCTTTTCTCTCCGTCTAGATGCGATTCCTACAGTAACTCGTTTTTTTTGCAGTCATGCTTTTCTCCTTCCAGTTGCGCTTCTCTTCTTTGCCGTATCTCTTTTCTAAAGGCTTGTTAGGTGTAACTCAGGCTGCGCCGGAATGGGTTTCTGGTGTCAAATTTCACCAGACGCAGTTCCAGACGGAACTTTCACTGGATCTTACTGGATCTCAATTCTTACTCAGGCAGTGGCTACACTTTAAACTCTTTCCAGGTATACCAGCCAGACCCACTCGAAACCACAACATGAATCATATTGAATCATTACATGTAGTAACTACTTACCTTTGCACAAAGCCACATGCAGGGTTGTGAAGCAAACGTGGCGCTTCTTGGTCGATGGTTCATCCTTTGTGAACTCCAAAAGATTCGCTGTTTCTTTCCGTGGTTCATTGATGTTTGTGCGCACGCTGCCGTGCTTTGTTGCCTTTTAATGCTTTGCTGGAGATTTGGGATTGAAGAGGACAAGGATCAAACAAAATATCGCTTTGTTCACCTGTAGGACAAAAGGTTTCAAAAAAGGTCACTGGGGCCACGTGTGTGTGTGTGTGTGTGCTGACCTCCAGCTGTGAGTGATTTCCATTCAGGTCCGAACGAGGAGAGCAGGGAGCAACCATGCACGATGGACTGTCCTCAGGTTTCTCAAAGCTTTCCGCCCACGCAAGCACAATGATGACACAGAAAAATTGAATGGGAGAGCGACCCTGCGGACAATCAATCCGAATGGCCGAATTTGCCGGGGTTTCGATCACGTGATGTAAACAATACTGCTTCTAGGGCTCTTTCACCTTACCGTTGTCGTGAGCAGGGCCGTTGCAGATCTTCAGGTCTTCAGCGCTGGGACGGTGCCTGTGGACAATCATGTCCACTGAAACATCCCAAACCCTCTTCAGAAGACTCTGAGCCCAAGTTGGGTACTTTACAGATGTGGCTCGACAAGACCCCAGGGACCGGCAGGTCTGAATGTGTCCTGGTGTTGAGAGCCATCGCCATATCTCCCCTTCCTTTGGACTCAGCGCCCTATTAGAACACTACGGGCCTGTATTTCAGCGCTCACGCTGCTCCGGCGAGGTCCCCAGATGTGCACCTGGGTTGAAAGTGGCACCTCGGCAATTGAGCTGGGCAGATGGGTTGGCCATGCATAAAAGGCCACCATGTCTATATGACAGGGTTGGTCCAGTTCTGCAGTTGGTTCATGGGTTTCTGGATGGACGTGAGGGAACCCATCGAATCTCTTGCATTCTTTTAATTCTTTTCTTTGAAACAAGGAACGACAATATTTTTTGTAACACCCAAATCACTCCCAGCCCTTTTTGTTCTTGTCACGTTGCGTTCGCTGTAGTAGCTTGTGGCCAGCGGCTAGAGTGAAATAATGTGAAGTAACCAACTCAGGTTTTGGTTTCTATCTGCACGAGGATGGAGTAGTTTTGAACTACCTCAAGCGTTTGAACACCTCTATAGGCAATAATGGATGAGCTGTCTTTGGGGAACCATGGGGAACCCGAGTGCTGCCATCCGCGCGGTGGATTGGAGCTCCTAGGGCCCCTCTCTCGCAGAGTTAAGGTGCCTGAGGAGAATCAAGGCCAGATGGGTTGCTGGCGAAACTGCAGACTCACCAGACACCTGCGCACACGTGCGCATTGCCTGCGGAGTGTGACACTTTGAGGAGTTGAGGTGTGCTGTAGAGTCTGTAGAGGAGTGCGAGTTGCAACATGGGAACAGGGATGAGATAGACCTTAGAACGTCTCAAATTTTAGGAAACGGTTGATTGCGGAACACGCATCCTGATTGTGAGTTGTTGGCTTATAGGAGGCACCATTGACATGGGTGTTTACTTGTCCAGTCACTGACTGGACCTTTGAAACCTCCAAGGATCTCCAAGGTGTTGACCAACCACCCTTTCTATGACTTGCTCCTTTGGGTGAATGGCTCGCTTTGGCCCCATCTCGCCTTCCGTGCAAGGCGAGATTTGCTTCCGTCTTGCGCCCAGCCGATTCATGTCGACGTGGTTGGCTCCGTTCGGTGCACAGCGATTCGCACGGGCGTCGCCGCCTCACCAATCATCCGTTGGCCGAGGCGGACGACACATCATGGCGGGCTACATGGCCAACCCCAGGCAAGAGCTAAACCGAAAGTTTTCGGCAAACGGCAAACGCAGTGTGGATAACAGCAGTATCCAGTGATCTGGGCTGCTCAGTCAAAACCAAAATCAATCCATATCAATCCCATACACTCCATGTAGGCCTTTGTTATCCTTTGTTATCGTTTGTTATTGTGCACCGTGATTTGCAGGAGTCTATGTAGGGATGGTTTCAGGAGTCAATGTAGGCGTATAGTCTAATACATATTTGTGGCTTATACCATAGGTGAATTGTTTGGGAGTGCGTTGGAAACGATTTCACTGCTTGACCTTCGGTGTCGCCTTCGACCGCCTGCGCCGTCAGCTCCCCAGGTTCGGTGAGGAGCATGTGAAGGTGGGGCGGCCCAAGGAGGTTTGGACTCAGATCAAAAGGAAAGATTCAGCAGTTCCAAAGGGGTGCATAGGCTGCATAGCTGCTTAGGCACTTCAGCTAAGGGGAGATGCAGCGCGGTGCCTGTGTCTCCCCTACTCACTGGGGATTTTCAAACACCATCATACTCGATTTTTGGAACTCCTGGATGATGGCATATCACAAGATAAAGCCTGACATCGTATGGGCCAGAGCAAAGAGTCTCCAAGGACCTTTCTGGGGTTGGTGTTCGCGTTGGGTGTTTGTTGCAACCACCAGGGGCTTGGCTTTCCGCCAGTCCAGTCAGTCGGGTTCCGCCCACAGATACAGATCCGCTGTTGGGTGGTAAGATCCTCGTGATTTGATGCTCTCGTCCCTCTCGCCATATATGGGATTGGAGGAGATCCCAAGTGGATTGTCATTGTGCATCTCCACATGTCTCAACAAAAGCTTTCGATTGGTTTTTCCCAACCAGAGGGCCGTGACGAAAGGCGACACAAGATCACTGGGCCATGTCAGATGGGTGTGTGACTCAAGGATTGGCAATGATTCGCTCGGATCTCTCAGATGCCATCCCCAAACCATCGCAGTAGATGCGAAGTGTTGCTTCCGAACATCCTAACACATGAGACCAGTTGGTGGATTGAAGGACATCACGGAGAAGAATGCCTCCACCATCGACCAATATGGCTGGCTGCACAGCGGTGACAAGGCCGCCCTCCCCGCGTTCCCCGGGGGCGGACACGAAGGACTGGAGGGAGGGAATCCCGGAGACCAGGAGCCACCAAGCCGGGGAGGTCAGAGCCGTTATAGCATAGCATACTGTACCCTAGGGCTCCAAGTCCCTCCTCAGAAGGTATTTGAACCCTCTAAACCCACCCCAAACACCTTCTTAGAAGGTACTTGGAGCCCTAGGGGTAGAAATTGTAGTAAGTGTAGTTGGCCCACCGCAGTTGATGATGTTTATGTCGGTTATGGTTGGTATTCTGCATTCGTGGACTTGAGAGTGTGGTGTTTATCTTCCAAGCAGCTTTGTTGATGTTGTTTGAAGTTGCCCCATTGAAAAGTATCCGCGCCAAGGTTGTAAGCCGTGAGGGGGACCATGAACCAGGAAGGCGTGACATGCGCCATCGTTTGTATTTAGCTCAGGCATTCCAGCCACCACATTTTGGATAGGGCGGCAACTTGCGCAGGGCTACATGGACACGAACGGCGTGGTGAGGATCACGGGCCGATACAAGGAGCTCATCATCGGAGCAGGCCCCTCCCGAAAAAAACGGGTGAGGGGAAGCGACTGCCGTTGGTTTGTTTGGCGCAGTGGCAGGAGGGTGGCCTTTCAGCATTTACTGATTTGACAGAATCATGTTTATGTGAATGGCATATGGATCCTTTGATGACCATTTTCCGAATGCCAAGCAGGTGGTGAACTCCACTTCCATGATTATTTCAGGGAGTGTAGGATCCTGGATTCTGCCTTGAATGGTTTGCCGCACGCACTGACACGCACCCATGCAGACCTGCAGGATCCTGCAGGTCTGGACCACTTGAAAAGCCACCTACTCGTGCCTGATGGGTTTTGACTTAAGACTAGGCCGAGTGGTGACCACATGGTGATCCGGAGTGCCAGGTTGGGTTCAACAGTGGCTTTGTAAGGTGATGATTTCTTGCGACCTGCTCACAACAGTTAAGCACACGGAGCAGCTTCATATAGCTTCATGCTAGTTTAAGGGAGCAACAGTTTGCAAGTAGTCCAGGGTCCAACAGGTGTTCGGACCAGCGAAGCTCAATTGTTTGGAAAGGGTTGAACGGGTTGGTGAGTCTTGCCACGTTGAGTCCAGGTTGGTGAGTCTTGCCACGTTGAGTCCAGGGAACTTGCCACGTTGAGTCCGTTGGTCATGAGTGGATGTAAGTCTCCTGGAAAGTTTGCTTGTTGCTGTTGATTTCAGTCAGACTGCGGAGTGGGAAGAACCAAGAGTGGGTCAGCCACTGTCAGCTTGACTAGTTCTGATTCACTGGGCCTGCGAAAAGCTTGAGGCACGTTTGCCATGTTAGGATGCAGTTTTGGGCTCTCGTAAGCTAGGCTGGAATTGCGTAACGAAAGCCCTGTTGAATATCTGAATATCTTCGTCACCCCACGAGTTCACGGCCCTACATATATGTTTGCCCATCTCCAAGCGGCTCTCACAAAGCACTTCACCCCAAGTCCCGAGTCCTGGGAGACTTTATTATATACTCTAAGGCCTCCAGTCGTACCTTCTGAGGTTCGGTGTTTTCCGGTGCCAGGAGGGTCCAGTCATACCTTCTGAGGTGGTACTTGGAGGTGTAGGGGATACCATGGTTTTCGCCACGTATCGTATCAAGTCAGCTCCGCAGCTCCCCCCCGGGTCTACTGAGTTTGATCGTGTCGCCGCATCGATGCGAGCAGGTGGCGAGAATATCGCCCCCGTGCCCGTGGAGGAAGCGATCAAAAAGTCGGCTCCAGCCTTGTCGAACGTGTCCCGACACAGCCGAACATGTTCGTTTTGAAAAGGGTGTGGAATGGTGTGGAGTATCAAGGGGTGTGTGGTGTGAGGGGAGGGAAGTGGGATGGAGGGAAGTGGGGTGTGTGAGTTAGGGATGGGGTGCTTTTCAAGCAGGTTGCTCGGGTTTGTGAGGGAAACTGTGGCTGGACTGAAGCAAGCGAAACGACTAGAGAAGTTCCCTAACATGATTGAGTTCTCTTAGGATCTCTTAGGTGTTCCAACTCAACTGTCTCTTTAATTGGTCCAAGTCACTGACCGGGATTCCGCCACGCCACGCGGAGTCTGAGGTGATGATGGTGGGCGACAACCGGAAGTACAACGTCGCCTTGGTGACCCTGACTGCCGAGGGCGCCACTGGCGAACTCCCTGGCACCGACAAGCTGGCGGGCGTCGCTTTAGAGGCGTGGTCCAGACACGTTCCGCGACGGTGCATGTTGGGGAGGTGGTTTTGGCTTGTGGGCTAAGGGAGGGCAGATGGAAGGCTGTGAAATGGAGAGTGAGAAAGAATGCATGTAAAATGCAACTCAACCTTGTGTTCGGAAGAGGGAGGGAGAGACAGAGAGAGAGAGAGAGAGAAAGAGAGCGACAGAATGCAAACAAATTGAGCTGCAAATGCGACCTACTCGGCCGGTCACGCCTGCTTGCAACTCGTGTAAATCCACTACTTAGCCACTACTTAGTCTACTTCCGACTCTGCAAGCAGTACCTTTTGCTTTGTGCAGTGTAGGGGAGAAGCGGTTAACCTGTACGTCTCTCGGATTGTTTCCACGTGACCTGCATGAATTCGATCAAGCTGCAACCAACTGAAACCTTTTTATATACAATGTTTTATACTTGTTTGTTGTTCTCATGTTTGATCTATTTTGATCTAATGTTAAATACAGGGCCTAATAAGGTGTTTGGAAGTGATTTTCATGCCGGTTCCAGGTGAACCCGGCGGTCAAGACCATCTCTGAAGCCATCAAGGACCGACCTTCATGATGTCGATATGCATTGATTCGGTCCAGAACAGCGGCGAACGGCGGTGGCGGTGGCGTTTGGAGTTCGTCCTAGGGGTTGGAATGCATCCAACAAGGTTGAAATCCATTCTTGGAGGGAAACCTCCCAAGACAAGACGAGTTTTTTTGGGGGGGCCAGCACTCACATGCAGTGGCATGCACGAGCTTGTGGATGAGTTCTTGTTACTTGAGTAACCCGTTGAAGACTGGGTGAACAGATCGAACAATGAGGTCACAACTTAGCCGCGATGATCGCGATGGCGGCATCCCCCATTCAGTTGGATAGGTAGCATAATGGGAACCTGTATCACTGTAAGAGCAACGATATTCACATTCATTCTGAGAAACATGATTGCCTACTTGCTGGTCCAGAGGAAGCATCACGACATATCAAGACTATCCCAAACTCTTAGCTCCTCGATGTGAATGTGATGTTGCCAATGCTATGCATGCCGCTCAGGAGGTTCCTAATTGGTCGGTGCTTCTTACCGGAAGGTCGTTTTGCGGAATGGGATGCATAAGGGGAAGAATGAAGCGTTTGAAGCGCTGACATTGGTGCGGAAGACTGCTGTTGACTGCTGTGGTCCGTGAGTGGTGACTCCGTCGATGTCTTGAGCTTCTGCGTCGGAAAGACGAACACCCCAAAACGCTGGCCCAGCATGCAAAAGCAGGCCGGCTCATACGAGTTGACTCTCTACTGGATTGCCTTGTGAAAAGGGAGATGGGGGAATCCATGTAACATCGCTAAGTATTGATCCTGATTTCTCCAGACCCTAGAACTGCTTTGGGGGCTGATGCTACAATAAACAGGTTTGGATGAACGAGGCGTTGGTTCTTTCTTTACTTTGATCATCACGTTGTTTTTTTCTGAGCCCTTGGGCTTTGACTGCAATCCATCCAAACACTGCCGATGTCTTTTTCAAGTGGGCGACCCACCAGCACTTTGGAATGGAATTATATCATGTGGTTCGTTGGTTGAAACGCATGCAAGTGCCACGCGCCCTAAAGAGAACTGAACTCAGCTTGCTATTGCTCAGCTTCAGATCCCTGCTTGGCGTTCTCTAAGTATTTTGTCAACAGGAGACTGCCACGAAACGGATATTTTCCCTCCCCTTGCAACTTACAATCAGCTCATTCCCTTCTAAATCATTTCAACAAAGGCATTCTATTCCTGTTCATGTCCGTTAGCATGCTGCAAAAGCAATTCCCAGGCCAGACTTAGACTTCCATCCACCATAGCACACAACCACCATCCATATATTTACACACACCTTGCCAAATCATGAGGGATTGCAGGCCAACATGTCACACAAACATGCACGTGATCTCATGGTTGTGTGGGTGTGTTTAAGAATTACAGTTGCGAAAGTGTTGAAATTACTTAAGTTGATTTGTTCTACGGTTGATTGAAGAGATTGTGGTCTTGCTGGGGCGTTCAATAATTTTCCCGATTCAAGTGCTTCTTGCCACATGTCCAGTGCATGGTGTGTGCACTTCTGGGCGGGTCTAGGTTTGAAGTCACACCCGCATGTCGCCAACCATCCGGTGGCAAATCACATGTCACCAACGGTGTAGGCCACGTGTGTGCAGGACCCAATTTGGCAGAAGTACATTCAGGATGCGATCAATGTGGCCAACAACGACCCGTCTCTTGTTTGCAATCGGGTACCTCCGCAGGCTGGGTGACTGGTAGATGCACCCACCAAGCCAAAGACAACCCCCAAGATCTACCTATATCTATATCATTCTATATCTATTGAATATCCATTTATCTACCTATCTGCATCTATCTACCTATCTTTATCTACTTATCTGCATCTATCTACCTATCTATCTACTTATCGATCCATCCATCCATCCAGGTTCCAGGAAAGGTCAAATACAGTGACTCTTTTTAAGTCTTTCATTCGCAGTTTAAGTCTTTGCTGGAAGGCTTCGCTTTTCCAAGACTTTGGAAGTTTAGGGTAGTACATATATATATAATATATTTCCTAAACCTGGTGCAACTGCACCACCTTTGTTGTCCACTTCATTCGCCACATCGATTGTTCGCCTCATTTGTTTGGTTCTTCCTCTATCTACGTTGACTCAGGGCGTCTTCGATATTCTTCCATTTCGGTCGCCCGGGGGCAAAGCTGAGGAACGTTTGCATCAGCAACGCGTGGAAGATCCAGAAGTTTGCCATTGTTCCACGGGACTTTTCAATCCAAACAGGCAGGATGGTCCGAGCGGAAAGGAACGGAAGAGGACGGAAGGAAGAATGATGAGTTGCATTGGGTGGTGCTTTTCCGATGTGTCTGTTCCAGTGGTCTCGGAGTAGATGGCGCAAGCCCCAAAAGGAGGTTGATGTGGGCCCCCCATCGGTCGCAGACATGTTGGGGCCCCCCATGGATTGCTCCACAACGGTCGATGGTTGTCTAACCCCTCCAGGACGGTCGTTCGCCCCAAGGACGGTCGTTCGTCCGCCGCTGAGGCCGTCTCTGAAAGCTCCTTTTCTTGGGATGACTGAACCATACTGACTCATATTCTTCACGTATATGAGTCATATATGAGTTGAAACCACCAGCCAGTTGCGCTGGAAGATCTTGGGGAAGTGGGCGATGCGCAACAACTCGTTTGACCTTGGCTTCTCGAACGTCAGAGGCCATGTGACAGATGAGAAGTTGCGGCTGCAAGTGAGACCAACTTCTTTTCCCGGCAGACATCATTCGGGGGGTGCTTGGGGCGGAACATGTCCACCGGGAAGTACGCTTCAAAAGGATTTTGCCTCAATAGACAATTCAAGGACATACTGACATACCTCCAGGGCAAAAACTACCAAAAACTGAAACAATGACGGATGCCATATGCTGCCCACAAAATAATATGGACAAACAAAAATGCATGTGTTTTTGCCAGAAATTCGTTCGAGTTCTTCCGCCCACATATGCCCACGTGCACCCAACTTGCCCCAGGTGAGTTCACGCCCTCGCTGAAGCTCAAGCGGTCCGTGGCCGAGGCGACATGGACGCTTGGAATGAGAATGTCAAGTTCTGGTGGTCCACTATTTTTCCTCTTACTCCACCTTTCATGTGCCAGGGAACTTGGATTTTCCTGTGGTTGGTGCTGTTGTCCTTTCTCCCCCCTCGGGCAAAGAGCTTCATCCCCAAGATCCAGTCCGACGCCTCGCCGACAGACGCATTGGACGCCCAGGAAGGATTTGATTGATCCATTGTTCTGACGAAGACGTCCAGGCGAGCTTGGGCCTCGATGGATGGCGCGATTGCGCTTTGTAGGCGGTTTTTGGGTCAAGGACTGAATTGCATGGCATGGTATCAAGGAACTGCACTTCGAGGCATGGCCTGATAGGACTCGAAGCCACCGACATGGCCTGATCGGACCGGACCTAAAGCCAACGAAATGTGCGGAGAGAGACAGGTCGAAAGGTTTCGCATGGTTCAAACAGACCGGACACCTCGACCGTACAGACGGGTCGTTCGCCAGGAGTTGCAAGAGTCAACCTGAGTCAACCTGACCTGCTGGGGCGTTCGCTCGTAGTCTGACAGGCGCTGGCAAAGGATAGGGTTAGTAATAGGGCTATGGCTATGAGTCATTGACCGGTGGTCGGCGTAGCTTGGATGAACTTGTTGGGTGTTGCATGTCTTTGCTTCAATGTGGCTTAATGGCTTGTGTTTGGCATCTTGCTAGGAAGGAGTTTGCAAAAACTAAGTCGGCATGATGTGGTGATTGATCGAACTCGGCATGGGCCGTTTTTCTCATGATTGTTGTCCACGGTAAATATACGGTTTGCCAGTGCCTGCGCACAAACACCAAGTGTGATGCGCGCGTCAGAGGCAGCTTGAGCATGCACCCATGCAGCTGGTGTCCGCGATTTTGAAGGATCCTCAAGCATGGCATTGTAGGCACGATGCACGACGCATCAATTCCCAGTTAGCGCAGCAATCAAGAGACGGAGTGATCAGGGGGGCAAGCCGTGGCAGGGTTGCTGAGGATGTTTTGACAGCGGGTGGCAACAGTTATATAATACAGTGGCCAGATGCATCATGAGACTCCCGGCCTGAATCATCTACGTAGCTGGTCACGTGCTCGATGGGGTGGGAGTGGATTTCTCGCAGGTTCCGCAAGGCGAGGCCAAGAGGGTTTGACCACTTCTTTTTGGGTGAGGCTTGCATGAAGATATAGATATTATTGTCGTTATTGTAATACAATCTGAATGTCAAATATGTATCTTCCACAGCCAGGGTGCTGAAGTCTTACGGATGTAGCTGCCTGAGGTTTCGTATGGGTGGTCTTTTAAGCCTCAAAGTGAGTGGATGATGCGCGTCCATGCCCTGCAAACACCACTCCTTTGAATCTGCTGATGTCCTGTGCCCACCGGCAGGGGCACCGGGGCACCCCATAAATTTGGGCACGTTAGCACCGGTGCGATATTTGCCGTAAGCTTGGCTCAGAGAAGGCGACACGTTACTGGGGGTACAACGTTCTAAGCTGCCCATGTCGAAGACTCTGAGGCCATGTGGATCCGGAGGGGTGCAAATCCGCGGATCTTTGCGATGGCGCACTGTAGATTGGTCCAATGTGTTCTTTAAACAACCAGGCTCACTTGAGCTTGTTGGTTTTGAGTCTTGTTCCTCTTCGGCCTCGGTTGGATTCGATTGAATGCCAGAATTTGTGTGATGTTCGTTGCACCTGTGGCAACTTGATCAGATGACTTCGAACACATGAGCTATTTCTACCAAACTCATCCAAATTCGTAGCGCACTGAAAGCTGGCTGCACTTGGACAAGAAGTGGACAACGAAACTCCCCTTACCTGCGTATGATTGGTGCAGGTATTTCAAGTGAGCGACTGCTTAGAAGCCGTTCCCTCCCAGAATCTCAGGGTGGAATCCGGATGAATGATGACGAATGAAGACAATCCTTTTGAAAGAAGCTCAAGCTAGGCACACCCGCAAACGGTGAACGTGGAGCAACATGGACGATTGGAAAGCGCACGTATATGCTACTGATGTTCGAATTTGAGGTTCTATGCACACTTTCAGGGGGGGGTGTCCTTTGTTTCGTGATGTTTCGTGATACTCACCTGCAAAGCTGATGCGGCGCCATTTGGTGGAGGACGGACGCGCAGATCGTTGAAACTCGTCCACATATTTGGGTTGCTGCGTCAGGACCAGGGGGGGTATAGTGAAGTATAGTGTCCAACTGTCACATCTCAGGCTCAGGCTTTTTCTAAGAATTCTTGAGCTTGCTAACTTTAAGTACTTGCAAGCACTGGAGAACATAGATCAAGGGTATTGACCAAAACTGGGGCTCGATCAGATCGGACAGACCAGTCTATCGGCTCATCGAAGAGCACCCTTCACGCCACGCACGGAACGCGCTGCACCGGTCGAACGCCGGGCGGCACCGCAGGTGTGTCCTGACCGTCCTGGCCTGTGGCCTCATGGCTGGCGTGCTGCTGTGCACACGCACCGCACGCGGGCCAGGGCAACGCCGGCTCCGGGGCGTGCAGAGATGGGATTTGTGACTGGGCAGAGATGGGATCACAGGGGCGTGGTGGGGAGAAGGAACTGGAGACTGGTGGAGAAGGAGAGCTATGGAGGGTGAAGAGTTGCTTGTTTCTTCTTGAGGAGGTGGAGGGGGAAACAATTATTAAGCAATTCCACTGACAAGTGGGTGTTCTCCATTTAGCAAGTGGGTGTTCCCACAATCCATGGATTCACAGACCCATGACCCAAGCACTCTTTTTCCCTTCTGCCATCCAACACGGTTCAATGTTGGCAATCAGCCTGGCAGTTGACTAGAACAGTGCAGTGAATGCTTCATTGGAATTCACATAGTAGGCACAAACAACATCATATTGGTCCACTGAGCACGCCTTTTCCCGCTCAAATTTCCCCTTGTTGCATGTGATCACAACGATTAAGCAGCAATGTCCAATTGCCACTGAACTTTGAATCTCATCAGATTCCTCAAGGTCAAATTTCAAAATAACTCTAAGCCGGCAGAACATAGTCCTGTGCCACCGGCACACCAGCCTCCCTCAACTCCTTAAGACACTTCCGACGCGCAGCCACACCAGCTGCCCGCCGTTCTTCGCTGGTCTTGTTTTCAGGGGCTTTAAAGCCACAGCAGTAGGCCTAGTTCTGAGAAGGGGAGTGCAGCAAATGAGGAACATTCAGAAAATGAGAGCCCAACACTGTGGAGCTTCTTCTTCAGCGACTCTGTAGTCCAAGTTTCCTGGATAGTATGTTTGGTATTGTTTGGTTGTAATCAAGCAGGAAAAAACAAGCAAGCTAAAATACAATCAATCCTTCTTCTTGCTGCTCTTCTTGCTTTTTGCTGCCTCAGCCTTCTTGGTCGTCTTGTTGGTCTGCTTCTTTGGCTTGGCCTTGCCTTTCGCGTGAACTTTTGGCGTTGCAACTAAGAGTGGAGGAGCAGAAGAAGAAGGCCCCTGATTGATAGTAGTCTCCTGGCTCTCCATTGCGCTTGAAAATTCCTGCCAGGCAAGTAGTAAGAGGGTAACGCGTATGAACAAACTAGAAAATCAGGCCTCGGATAGATTGCGAGCAGCTGAAACCTACATAGCGAATACAGATGAATACAGTAAGGGTTTGAACTCTGAAGAAAATAAAGGTCCCATGCCTCCGGGTCCTTAGGGTGTTCTTCCACAGCTTCCTCCATCTCTTCCAAATGCGCCTAAACAGTACCAACACGGCAGCTTAGTCAGGCCTATTTAATTTCACTATATTTCACTAATGTTGCAAAGCAGAACCAAAAGCAAACAACTTTGACCTAGCCTCAGGTGAGAAACCAAGACGGAGCGTAGGTGAGGAGCAGATGTGCTCATCAACTCCACCACCTGAACAGGTTTAAGGTAACCCAAACCAATCCTGCCAACAAACGAACCCCACCTGGGAATGTGTCGCTCTTCATCATACTCTCCGGGGCAGTCTTCAGGGCATCATCCATCGGGTACTCCAAAGTATCAGCTCCCCCTTCCAACGTGTCCACCGCCTCCTGGGTAGCCTCGCCTAAAAGCAAGTAACCATCCTCACAACAACCATGGCTGGGTTCATCCAATTCTGTCTCCAATGAATCTCCCCCAAAAAGCTGACTCTCATTTGGCGTAGCAGGACTCCGGGGCTGGGAATCATTCATGAACTCCATTTCAATCGCGTTGGACCTGCGAAGACGACTTCGTGGGTTTGGCTCCACAGCTGAACTCATGAGTGGCTCAGCTGGCTCCACCACTGGCGCTTGAATGCATCGCCGCTTTTGCACTTGAGCCTCCAAGATAAGGTAATCATTCCCCAACCCTAAGCAAACCCAATCTGATTTGATGTCACCTTTAACAACTTTACTCAGACAATGACATGAAGTGAAAGTCTAATTTGCACCTTGAGGCTGGCAAGTGGGTCAGGCTTCTTTTGCGGAGTCGCCACGGCCTAACAAAACAACCAAACAGGCTAAGCAAAACGATATGGCATGGCAGGCTTGCCTCCACAGCGTGAGCAGCAGCAAATGTATCATTTTTCTTTGTCTGCTTCCTCCCAGGTTTCCTCGGATCTTTCTTCGCTTGGTTACCTGACAACAAAACCAAATCGAGCTAAATAGTATCTGGTCTATACCCCGGCCTTTTCGGCCAGATTTTGGTTTGGGCTGTCCAGCAGGGCGCTTCCGTGGCTCGGCTTCATGACCACCACCATCATCAGTGGCGTCATCCCCATCTTCATCATCTCGTTTTTTGGGTTTCTCGGGACCATCTGGCGATTTTACATCAGCATCATCATCGTCATCATCATCAGTCTTTTTGGATTTAGCCTTGGTCTTGGCCTTGTTTCCCCTGCCCTTTCCCTTGCCTTTCCCTGTGTGTTTTGTTTGGGCGGGTGGTTTGTCGGTGTTTGCATTTGTTTGTTCATCTGATGAAGAACCAGCAGCATTGAACTTTGGCGGTAATCCTGTGCCAACCGATAATGGACTCAGAAGTATGACTCACAAACCAAATGAAAATGCAAATGTTTAAGTGCAAATGTATGACTCACAAGCCAATTCGATCACACAATATCTAATGTTGGTCCTGCCTGAAACAGACGTCACTGCAGAAGATGATGCTGATGCCACTGCTTTGGTAGTGGTCGGCTGTCCACTCTGCGGAAGGGATGTACCAGCAGTAGTTTTGGGGGTAGTACCCGGAAAGGCTGTTTTGCTGATCTGAGACTCTGGGGTTTGCACTGACATCATTGCTTCAAGGTTGAAGGCCTCAAGAACTGGCAACGCTGGTGGTGTGGCTCAATCACGGTGAATGTTCATCAACTTCGTCCCGAAAAGCTAGGAATGGTAGCGTGCTACGTTCAATAACGTTCAATAGTTTCTTGAGATAATATGTTTTATTGCTTAATGAGTTGCTATTGCTTACTTCCAGCCATCAGCTTCATGTTTCAAATAATGTTTGAGAACTTAGACCCTGACTGGAGTATGATGACGAGCAGGTGCAGCAGCATCGATCAGCTCACAATCAGAGTCCGACATTGGTCCAAGCTGGATGTCCCTTTGTTAGTTTGGCCTGAAACCCTGCAAGAAAGCAACACACCCCTGAAATCAACACACCTCTAAAGACAACAATCCCTTTCAATGTACCCTCGGTAGACTGCTCGATGGCCGCATGCGATGGTCCATCCTTTTTCAAGGCGCTGGGGTCTATACGACGTTTCTAGCACCTGGCATTGAAACGTTGAAAGCCGTACGCTCTTAATGAATCTTGCCTAATACCACACTATATCCAGAGTCGAGCTCAGTAGCTTGTTTTCCACTTGGTGGAAGGTTATGACATATTGTTTCATGACGCAGCACGGACTGCTTAAGAGCATATCCTTTCGGATCACCACCAGCGGCTCACTCGAGCACTTGCACTGGGCAGATATGGATAGACATAGATCTACAGTTGGTAGAGCATAAAGTTATCAATGGTTGTAATTGTGCAATCACTATGTATGTTTCCTGCCCTGTGCTCCTACATAAGCTGAAGAACTTGCGAAGGCTCCAACTCGAGCTGTCCGTTCAAAACGCATATAGGCCTTTGCGGCATCAAAGTCGTGGTGCCGTTTGCCACTTCCAGCCTGGAGACCCAGGAATGATTGGGGAATATTGGGGAGGGCAAGCTCACTGAATGAAAAAGGGTGATACAACTATTACAAAACAATTGAGGTCGAACTGATTTGTTTCAGTGGCTCATTGAAGGTTTTTGTTCAGCTTACATTAAGCAAGTCATAAAGTCTAGAATCACAGTCTGGCCTCACTCGGAATCCAATGCGCAATGCTTGGCAATTCAACAGCTTCTTGAGATTCAGCTTTGCACCAAAGGTGGTTGGCGATGCCTGGTTCAACACCCCGCTTCTGTGATTTTTTGTTTGGGGGAATATGTAGTGCAACATTCTGTGTTTGCAAGATTATCTTGCCTTCTTCGGGATGTTCTTTTGCTTTTTCTTTGGCGGTTCCACTGCATCATCTTGCTGCTTGGCATCAATAGCAAAGCACAAAGCCTTTTCGGACTTGATGGAGTCTTGCGGGAGATCAACAGTGTGGTGACTGTAGCCAACACGGACCTGCCAACATTTGCAATGAGCCCCTGGGGTTTCCACTATCCACTGACTTGAGAACCCTCTAAAAATCCAACCAACCAGGCCCAATAACATTTGTATAGTAAGTTTATAAAATTACTTATTAGATATCGTAGATATGTCAAGCAGTTCTACATTGAGACCTGGGAGGTTGTAAAAACGACTCCCACTTCCCGCCTCTCCAGCGTCTTCCAACATGGTCAAGAGCTGACGCAATGGAGTGGGCTTCTCTAAGCAAGCCACTCCCTGCAGATGGCTCAGAACCTTTTTTCGCTCAAGAACTATCGGTGTTTCAAATGAAACTGCTCCCGATATCCACTTGGAGTCACTTTCCATGGTTTCAACTGCATCCGCTCCATCACACCATGTTCCTGAACCGAAGGAGCAGAGCTCCCTGTGGTGAAGGAGGGTGGCAGATTCAGAATTGGTCGTCACGAAAATTCGATCTTGGTCCACCACCATGCTGACCTGCGAGTTGATCACAAGGGATGACCTTGGCAAGAAACATGACATGGCTCATGAAATCCCAATATGATGAGTGGAGCCAACCCGAGCAAAGCCGAGTTGAGGCCAAGACGTGTTTGGAAGCGCCACCAACTTCTCCACGGTCAGAGGCTCATCTGTGGGGATGACGACAGTTTTTGGCTGCTCCACGGGTTCAGGGCGACGGGGGCTTGCCATGGTGTCTTTCAAACGAACCCCTTGAGGATTGTATTTGGCATTGTGGGCAGCAACGAGCTCCATAAACTCCTCCATCTCACCAAACTGCTCAAAAAAGGATTCTTTGATGATGAGACCACCTTTTGGTTCTTGGCTGGTGACATTGAAGGTGGTCTTCTGCATTGACCCATCAGGTCGTGAGTTCTGCAGCTCAGCAACTAGTGGCGCCATATCAGGGAAAGAAGACATGTTGATCTTCTTTGACCTCGCAGCCTCATACGTAGCTGTTGAGACCCTTTCACAGAGTTTTGCGGCCCTGTCCGTACGTCCTCCATCTTGGTGCACAATGGTTGCGCACATTGTGGTTGGTTTTGAAGGGGCCTGGGGCAACGCCAATAGCTTCAGGAAAAAACACAGGAAACTTCTAATGTTGGAGTGTATGAGTTTTCTTGGTTTCTCACGATGTTCTGCTCCTATTTCCGGTTTTTGCTTTTGGCGGCAACCCTACCTCCAAGACCGACAGAGCTGGAAACCCATCGTACCCAGTTGCATCGATCCAACAAAGTCGCTGGATTGAGGATTGTGCCGCGAGACCTTCCTGAAGTCTCTTGATGAGGCTTGTGCCAGCTGCCACCTGGGAGTCATGGGCATGGGTTGTTTCCAAATGAAAGCAAAATTTGGGTTTGTTATGGGTTGATAGTATTAAAATCTATTAGCTTGTGAATTCCTTTGGGATATCGATGGATGTGCTGAATAGACTATTCAACAAACAGGTGAATGGGCGGAGGCATGTTGGATGCCAAACAAGTCGGGGGGAGCTGGAATGGTCGTCATGGGTGGCGCTGAGAAAGAGGAGCGCAAAAAACTAATGACAAACAGTTTGTACGCACAAGAGTATGATGCTGATAAGTGCCATGAGGTGATGATGAGGATGATGATTGTCAGGTTGACCTATGGCTGACGGCTGATAAGAAGGATTGACGATGATGTTGTGAGTGAGGAAAGGTTGTGGATGTTTGGGGATGATGAAAACGGTAAATGACAACCAAGACAAAGACAACTAAGACAACAACATGAGGAATCATGAGGATAATTCAGGGTAACAATGACCATGGTGGTGACGCTGGTGATGTCGTGGGTGATTATGGTTTGATGCTGTTGACAACGATTGGTATCATCAAAGGCTTTGAAGGCAATGATTCAATGGTGAAGATGATGAGGAGGACAGTGGTGATACTGATGAGGAGGCCAGTTGCGATGATAGTCGGATGATGACGAGCAGGAGGAGAATGATAAGTATAGGGCTGTGATTGACTAGAAACATGCAATACTGAATCCCAACCCTCCTACTTTATTCCACGACTTTCTTCAAAGCATCTTAATGCATTATCAAACAAAGACACCTAAAGCAAGCAAGAAACTTGACGCATTTCCTGGGTATCAGTGAACGACGAGTGCATAGTCATGGCAGCCACATGTTCCTTGAACATTTCATTCCGGGGGCACATGACGACATCGGTCACAATTCCTCGCTTCCAGACGCTCGATTTCCAGAAAGTGTTGGGCGTCGCTGGATTCCGTGCCTAACTCAGCACAAATGGGAAAACTTTGTGATTGGATGAAAAACATCATAGAATCATAGATTATTTACTACCTGTGACACACTGTCACACCTCCGATTCACGTGTTGCATAAAGTTGAGAGCAACCGGAGATTCTTTGTGTGGTGGATATGACACCAAGCAAAAATGCAACCTGCAGACTTTGATTTACAGCTGAGTGACTGTAACGAGAAGCCCTTTCAAAAAGCCAGAACGTTGCCCATAAATACTGGATGGATCGAAAGAGATCATTAGGTCACGAACCACCAGCATGCGGGTTGGTTCCCGTAAAGTGGACTCAAACTTGTGCCTGAAGTTCATAAGAAGGTTTGATTCCTCATCCTTCTCCTCATTCTCGGACTCGGATTCCTCCTTGGCATGCTCTTCACCATCGTCGTCGGGGTCAGGTTTGGCACGCCTAAAAAGAGTCAGGAGACCATGCAAACACCGCTCATCAGGTTTGTGCATTGAGGTGATCAACACCTGGACCTTGTTCTTAGAAGAATTGGATGGGTCATGTCAGGTCGCAATGGGAATGTTGTCACCAACTGAGCTTCGGGCGCCTTTTTGGATTCCGATGCCCTGTTGGCATGAATCACGACACAAATTGAATTGGTCGGGCGCGCAGCCAGGAAGCTCGTGATTATTTGATGAATGTATGCCAACTTCAAGGACGAGACCACCCCCAAATTTGGAAGACAGCAGTATAGGATATGCCCTTCCTCGCTCGGTTGCCTTACATACGTAAGGTCTTCCATGCGCTGCTCTATCCATTGCAAAACCACTGGCAATGGGGATGACTGCTCCAATTTCACCGACCAGATCTTCTGGTTATCTTCAACAAACTGGTGAACTGCTTCCCAGCTCTTGTCATGCCTAGGTAGGTAGGCTCATAAACTTCCCATTCAAATTCGAAGTGAATCGGGACGACTGGCAACTTGTGAGTTAGACGACATGAGATACAGGGTGTTGGATGACTGGTTGCATCTCTTGGAGCTTCACCAAGGTGTCCCTTCGTTTCTTCGATTCTTCCTGGCAGCACCTCCGCAGCTCTGTGTAAGGATAGCGATGCAGGACAGAGGAGAAGAAACACATCGAACCGGTTTGAAAAGCGTAGAATGCTGTTGGTCCAAAACACTGACTATTCATGGCAATCTCTACTTACTAGACTCTGTTTGAGTCATTGAGTGGAGATAAGTTTTTGAGTTTCTTCTTAACTTAGAAGTGGATGTTTTCGTGATAGATCAGATCTGAACAGTTTTGATTGCAGTCCAATGCAGTAAGTCCAAAAGAAGTTTGAGATGTTTGCACTGTCCCAAAACAACCCAACCTGGACAAAAACATCAAGGGTTGTTTAGCAAACTATGCGTCATACTCTTTGGATTCATGTGTAGGAAAAACGGTCACCACACAGAAATCGCCTTATCTTCATTGCTTCATAATTAGCGGTGTCCTCCTCAAGCTGACTGGAAAAGTGACCGAATGCAGCAGCTACCGACGCTGCATGGGCATTCTTGGACTTGTTCTGGGCTGCAAGAACGAACTCTTCACGGTTCCGGCCCATCGCCTTGTGGCCAGTGTTTGCACAGCGGTTTAATATGGTTTAATGATTCCACCAGTTCTGTCCAATGGAAGATCTCAAGAAAAACACAATCACGTCAATCAGTGCACTAGGTTGTGTTGATGGTATCAGAAGCTATTGATAATCACGACCTTGCCTCCAAAACGAATGGGATCCGGCCCCAATCCATTTGCGGATCGGCTGCCCGGCAACAGCATACCAAATCTTGGTCCAAGTGCCTCAAGTCAGACAGGAGAGCGGGTTGAGTGAACAAATGTGAATAGATGGTCTGCAGTGCGGACAGCCTATCACTTGACGGTAACTAACCAGTTGGTAATGGCCCCAATATCAACCTGAACTGAAAGCTAAGATTGAATAACTATTTCATATGAAATGGCCCGAGGTTTGCAAGTCGAAATTTCTTGCAAATCGAATTTGGGAGTGTGACGGGTTTTCAGGAAACCCCATGATTCGGGAGTTTGCAAACCCATGGTTTCTTGCAAGTCGAAATGACCCTGGACCCATTACAATCCTGGAGAGTCGCCCCGACCCAAAAGTGTGACGGGTTTTCCCAAAAACCCATCACAATTTCCATGGATTCCAGGCTACCAGTCACACTGGCTTGTAGAAAATCATGTTGGAAGTGTGACGGGTTTTCATTTTGCTTATCTAAATGTGACGGGTTTTTCGGAAAACCCATCACGATTTGAGCCACTGGTTTGACCCTCGAAGTGTGACGGGTTTTTGCCCCCCCCCCCCCCCATCGGGGTTCCCCGGCCCTCACAAAACCCCATTATCAAGGCGCCCGTCCAAGAACATGGTTTCCATTCGGGCCATCAAACTGCCTTCTAATGATGCCTCGAGCTTCGGCCGCAGCCACAGCCAAACCAGGACAATGTCCATGAGCTGAAGATGATCTTCCAGGCTGATTTGGGCTGACTTCTGGCAGGGCAAAGGGTTCGGGTTGAAAAGTGGAAAGAGGGTGGACATGCATTTCGAAATTAAAAGCGTTTGAGAAGTGCCAAACAAATCATAAACGGCCAACAGTGCCTTGTTCTTGTTGGAAGCATCTTTTTTCACTTGGCCCTCGAAGGTTAAGATCACTCTTTGGCCATACAGCACCGTGCTTTCCTCCGAGACCCTCATTATTTCTTTCCAAAGATCTTTCCCCTTGAAACGTGCCACCATCTCCCAACGAGCCAGCCCCGGCACAAAGTGTCCCTCTGCGAGGATCTCGTACGAGAAGCCTGCAAGGGGCATATCGGAAGAAAAGTCATCTACTATTCATCATGTACTGCAGAGACAACATGAGCAGAGGTAACAGTAAATTGAAACAACTCTTAGTCTTGTTACGTTGTACTGTGAAGTCTTGTTTGAAACCCTTTTTGCTCGGCTTGTGGCGGTGGCGAAAGATCATATGCGGTGGGGATTTCACCGGTGGAACCTGACATTCATGCGGTAGGGATTTGGCCGTTCCTCTCTTTGGGGCAGCTCCCGAACAATATCATGCCTTGGAGCATGCCCTCCAGCAGCAAGAAATTCAATTGGGAGGGCGTTATGCCTTTCACGCGCAATTTCCCCAGTCAATTGCCTGAGGAAGTAGACTGCGCGGCCGTACTGAGGGTACTTTTCAAGGGCTTCACTAAACTCAAGAAGGTCAGCGGCCCTCTCTGGATCCAAATCTGTTTGTACACCGGGATGGTTCACGGCATTCTGCCAAAATGTCCTCACTTCGTTGTGGGTGTCTCCAGGCCACACCAACATTGCTGGCTGGGCAAGAGCATCATTGCAAAGATCCTGCTTTATGAGGCAGAAGACGTCAGTTGCGCTGGGCTGGTATCGCCGCGGCAGCCGTTCATCGCGTTCCACACGGGCTGGCATGCCTCACAATGGATAGTGCCAGAAATCTTCAATATCTTTTGGCAAATTGGCATGTGACCTAAATCCAAATCACAAACCCAGGTGCAATCCCGTCTTCGGAACAAGAAGGAGTGGGGGATCCGCTTGTCTTCTCCAGACCGGGGTCTATAGACATTGCTGAGAGTCACCACGTGGGGTGCAAGCTGCTTCCAGGGTCTGACCTTGGAGGTCACAATAATATTTTATATTCGTTCAATTCCTGTTGAATTACCATGGTTTGAGGGCAGAACTTTGTCCACGAGGATCACATCGAAGAACTCCCCTCGAGCTTCAAATGCTGGTCCGACACGTCCTTCTAAAAGCCTATCAGTATGAAGGCTAAATCCATGAAAAGCACCCTCTCAGCGACATGACATCCATGTGTGTTTGCCAGTGACGCCTCTTGAAATCATGAGGGGTTTGAACTTGATCGGTGGCGCTCATCAAATACGTGGTGATCAAGCCAAACAGAGCGTCTCGCAGGCAAAGCAGAACAATGGTTCCACACAAACGCAAGCATGCACAAACACGCACACACTCAAAACAAGTTTGCACTCAAACTTGCCATATCCTGCCTATGTCCTCGTGAGTGTGCCCTACCGGGAGGTGATGATGGCCTGCCTCGTCAAAGAATCGGGAGTTGACGAGGCAGGCCATCATCACCCCCGATAGAGAGTTCTTGACTTCCTTCACCGTATTATCTGACTGAATCCATAACCTGATCAAAACACGTTCTGATTGAAACTCAGATTGCAATGGGTTGACTCAAGACTCAAGACTTTAAGATGACGAGAGACGACCGACTGAAGGGTTTGCCTTCCTGGGCACATTTCTTCCACACCCTGTCGATTGTTTGCATGAGGCACTCCCAGGTGTACGACCCGCCGCAGTCACTGTGTTCCTCGCTGAGGAATAGCTGTACTCCAAATCCGTGCGCGATAACTGCATTGAGCTGCACAGTTGTACGGGGCACTCGCTCGAACACACTGTGCTTGGGCTTCCTCCCTCGGCTCCAACGCGGCAAAGCCGGTTTGCTTCTGTCAAACCCGTCGATTATTAACGTGAGTAGGCCGCTACGGTTCCGGCTCTCTTGCCTCGCTGACCAATAGGTCTCCCGACATCTCCACACCATGCTCAGATGCCCGAGCAATGCATCAGCAGACTTTGCATTCTCGAAGAATGTGGAAGAATGTCTCATACAAACACGTAAGTGTTCGCACACTTGGCAAGATGTGTGCTGGGAGCGTCGACGGAACTTCAGCACACGTCTCCATGGTTTGATCACTTCGTAGAACAATGCTCTGGAGGAAACTCTTTGGTTGGTCGCCAAACAGTGTGACTGATAGAGTAAGTACACACTCCCCCATGTGCCTGGCGGCATCTCCCGTTCGGCGAGATCACGGACATTCCGCTTTGTGAGCCGGGTGCTAGGTCCTTCAAGTGCCTGGTCCACCAGCTCTTGCAGAAGACGCTCTCGTGCTTCGGTTGAGTCTAGTTCTGTGCCACTTGGGAGAAGCCTGAGATGTGAGAGGCAAAGGGAAGGACTTTGACACCATTTTGTTTCTAACTGTCTGTATTTTTGAACTTAGAAACCTTGTAGGCATGGTTTCTGAAATGGAGTAGTAGAGCTTCCGGAGAAAAGTATCAATGGATTGCGTCGCATAAGCTGGTCGAGACCCAGTTCCTGGTCAAGAGTTACCATTTCAACATACTGTAGCATTATGACATGAAAAGTGGTTGTTCATTTCCCAATCAAAACTTCGGGTCCTTCACCGCCTAGACCTCTTTCATCTTTCCCTTTAAAACGGTGACGAGTACGATGGAGTCTTCCGCATCCAACCCCGAGGAATCTTTGGAATGCTCTTCTGCAAACCTGCTGGCCTAGGCGGGCAGGTCAGAGCGTAGGAACTTGGAAGTTGAAAGTTAGACTGGCCTCCAATTCTCCACCGAACATGGGTTCGGGATCGTGGTTCATCGTCATCACCAGACCCAGAATCGGAGTCTTCCGAAGCACTCCCAGCTTCCATATACGATGTTTGCTGAACAGACCATAAAACTGCATCCTGAGCACTCTTGGCCTCAGCCAATCCATCGCTTAGCTAACTATAGCATCAAAAAATAAATGATCATTTGTGACTAAACTATCTAAGTCACAAGTTGCCAGAACAAAGTGCAGATTTGGACCAAGGATTTGTAAGTCACCATCTTCCAACACCTTGTAGCAAAATATGACATGGCATTAAACCGATTAAGCTGACTAGGATTAACGAATGTTGCTATGTTGCAGACTGAGTCAAAGACTCTTGTTGGCATGTGCATCCACTAGACTGGCGGTCTTTGAGAACCTCCCGGATCCTCTTCCTGGATGTTCCGTTCTGTGCATAAACGCTTGACTGTTGGTCGTCTTCTTCATTTGCAGCTCTTAGGGCTGCCAAGTGCTGCAGTGATAGGTCTGCATCTTTCAGCCTCACCACAGTGTATTTAATAATATGTAACAGTGTTGAACCAGGCAAACCATTTCAGGGTTATTTTTGTTCCCAAGGTGAGCCTGCTGGGACTGCAGGAGTCTGAATCTGAACTGCTCGAAGAATTCACCGAAGAAGCATCGGTCTCGCTCTGCTCAGGCTGCCAACGGCCAAGATTGCAGGGCTGCACATCCCTCTTTGGAGTCCGGCTCCGAGACGGACAGACACGCCATTTGCCCATGACTATCGATTATCCATTGATTGTATTTTGCTATGATGCAACATGATGCAACAATACTTGGACCATCTTGGACCGATGATCTTGTAGTTGATCTCTCGTAGTAGATTTTTAAGATTCAACAAAGTTCAACACATGTGTCGTGCCAGGCCACGATAACAGAGTTTGTGAAATGTCAACTGACCACAAGCGCTGCGGTCAAAAGCAAATTTTGCGTCCACCCAACCCCCAAGCCTGCCCTACAGCACTAAACCCAGATCGTAGACCGAGCACGCCTGACATAGTGTGCTTGAACTTGTCGTAGTGGTCCGACAAAAGCTGCACAAACTCGCCAGGTGACCTCATCAGGTTCAGGATCACTTTCTTTTTTGGGCCGTCGACGCGGTACTTGCGCACAACAGTTTTGTTGTAGTCTGCGATCGTGTTCTGCAAAGCGGTGGATAGTGAGAGACTCTTCCCTGAAGAAACTTTCTGAAGATCGATCGCTTTTCTGAACTGTCCAAGAAATTCTAGGGCAGATGGAGCCTGCTTCTCAGATGTCTCGTGTCCCACACCTCAACAACGGTTACATTAAGCGACTAGATGAGACCAAATATGAAATGAAAGCTGGCAGAGTGTTCGAGAGTTCAGTTTCACAAACTGAGCATTTAAGGTAATGACGCAATGCGTCATAGATGTAGCTTGCTGGATCCGATTGATGACGGTAAATAGCTTTGAAGAATCTCAGAGAAAGCAACAGTGGCGACAAGTCCTCTGAGTTCAGATCTTCATCGGGCCAATCCTTGAAATGCAATGTTAAAGATTCACCCAAAAGTAAAGGCCGAGTGGGAACAAGAAGCCAATGATCAAACGCAAAAAGCTCAAAAGAACAAGTACTCATGATAGGTAAGATTCTAGGTGATCAACTAGACCAATGATCCCCTGGGCAATAAGCCCCTTGGTGAATCCATCAACATATTGGACTGAAAAAGGAAGCACTTCGCGACTTGCAGTCTGTTGGAACTTGACTTGCAACGGCTCTCGATAGGGATCCAGGTTGTTAAAGATCACGCTTTTCATGTGGATCTTCAAGGTCGCCATGTGAGGATAGTCTCAGTCCCACAAAACTCTATTTGAAAGACAGCAGAAAACATGCGAATGCGCAGCCTTATAAATACCTGTCAAGTAAATGCATCAAGAAACAGCCGCTTTTTGCTTCCTTACTGAAATCGAGTTGATGAACGCCAACGAACATCTCATTCACAGTAACGTTTGGAATGAGGTTCACCAGTCCAGGCATGTCGTCGCTCATGCGTCCCCACACGATTCGTTGAATCGCATTTGCAAAGCCCTGCTTCTCTGGGTACTTCTCATTCAACCATTCGCCCAGGTTTTTGTCTTCAGTAACCTGATCCACAAAACCTTTGGTGGAGAAGTGCAACTGTCAGAAAACTGATGAGTAGTTCTGATTCTAAGGTAGGAACCTTCAGAAAGGCTTCCCAAAGCATCTCCCTAGCACTTGGGTTTCCTGGAGTAGCATCGGGGTCCTCCTTCAAAGCCTCTTTCATATCCTCATCCTCTTTTTTCAAGGGCTCCATGGCCACACAAGGCGCTACCACAGCCAACTCACTTAGAGTCTTTCAAGCCAAATCATTGAATACACAATGTGTATGTTGATAGAAAACCATGTGTATGTGCTCACAAGCGATCAACTCGAAGCTGCTTTTTGCTAAACTTGGCGGGTCCACGTGAAAGGGTCACCCATGAATTTCGCCTCAACCGAACAATCGCTCAGGTTGACAGGGGCCATACTGAGTGTTGAAGCTTGGATAGAACAGAAGGATTCAGGGCAGGGCCGGAAACAACGTCCCAAGTAAATCAGCAAGCCTCCTACTAAGTGTGCAAGAGGACTTGCAACATGATTTGCTTGACAGTATGTATCAAATGACTATTTGACTATTTGTCCTTCTGTAGGTCCATGCAGAACTTGTTCAGTACCACAATGTTGCAGGCCTGTGCTTTTGGATGCTTTTGGGAATGTTCAAGCTTGTGATCGACGTTTCACAGGCCTGAAAGGCGATGAGCCACGCAGCGCTCATGCTCCGCAAGTGCATAGCGTTGCCAGCCAAATCACCCAGCTCCTCCAAACCCCCCAGTGTTGCCAGTGTTTATATGACCACAAAAGAATTTTCACCCAAAAGATCCTGATCGCTGAGATTGTCCAAGCGCAGCCGATGCAAAGGGAACCCTTGCAACATCAATTTCTCGAGGCCTGCAACGCTGAAAGTGATTCACTGTCTCACCTGATACGGAATTTGGAGGAAAAAAACTCACCTGATAGATGACGGCGATCATGTCGCAGCCAGTATCGACCCTTGGGCCTGGGATGTTTCAATTTCCGGGGACACCTTAAACTTTACCCTGAGGGCAGAACGTAACAACCGGAAAAGGGTCATCAAAGTTCATCAAAGTGGGCATGCGGCCAAGACTTTGGCTAATGTCCATGCAAACCCAATCCGGCTTCGTTTGCGAGACAATGGCCATGGCCTGCAATGAAAAATGATGCTACCACAAAACTACAAAAGTGTGTGCCACTGCCTGTGTGCAACGGTCTGATAATCCACATGTATTGGGCCCACCATAGGCAATGAGCTTCTGGTACACTTTGTCCTTCTTCACCTTTCCAACCAATGTTATTGTACACATTTACTCTTTGCCGTCCCTTGGCGCCTCGTGATTCTTCATGAACTGCCAATGGGTCACGCGCCACTTTGGGCTTTTTGATGTAGTAATGCCAAAAGGATCAAAAGGTTGGTTTGACCCTGCTGTTTTGACTGTTTCTTGCCAACACAGCCTTGTACGCAAATTGTAGGGTTTGCGATTGAGCTTCTCCATCTTCTTCTCCTTGGCCTGAAGTTCAAGCAAATCTTATTCTTCAGACATGTTCCTGGGCTTGAGAGGCCTCCAAACTAGCCTTTATCTTTTTCACATCATCGTTCTTGCTATCCAAGAGGAAGGTTGTCCTGGAGCCATGCGCAACTAGAAAGAAACGGTTTTTGATACATGGCGAAGTTGAGGATCAGACCAAGGTGTGCTGTTCTGAACAAACTTCTTCTTAAGCGCATCCAATGTGGACTTGGCAGACTTCTCAAGGTCCCTGGTTCCAAGCACATCCCGGCGGATCATAACAAAGTATACCCGCTGCCGGGAAATGTTGACTCCAAGCTCACTCCTTGGGCACTACAATCTTCAATGAAATCATGTCTAAAATATGAAATTCAACTGTACATTACAAATGAGACATGTGTCGGGTCGATGTTTTGCAAAGTCATGGCGTAGTTGCCACACTGAGCAAGTTCCTCCTTGACCTGCTCAATCACACTCATGATGCCGATGACATTCTCCAAAACCACGACCTTCAAGTGGCGATAAAGAACTTACCACACTCAAATTGCGATTGCGTACTACAAATTTACTGTACATAAACTCGGTCTGTAAAAGCAAAGGTACCAGGGGCTGTGTAGATTGGATTGTGTTTCTGACTGCGTAGAATTGGCGAGCTTCAACATCGTCTAACCAGTCAGTGTGGACCCGCAATTTCGAGAAAGCTTTGCACGGGAATCCCGCGGTATACAAGGCGACCTGACCGCAACTGGACCAATGAACTCGAGAAAATTTGAGAAACATATTCAAGCCTTATGTGCGCATTGGCTAGCATCTCGCGTGAACAGGTCATCCTGCAGCCTCAGCAAATTCTACACATAAATGCGCTTGCAAAACTCAAGTTGCTCTTAGACAATGACTGGAGGTGAGGCCAGTTCTGCCGAATGAACTTTTGAGGAGCCTTCCCTTTGTCACAGCTTGACCTCAAGCAGGGCAACAAAACACAATTGAATTTATTGGGTACGGTATATATAATTCCCCACCAAATGCTGCAAAACTGCACATGTTCGATGCAATCGAGACAACCTGCTGCATTCAAGAGCATCTCCAGGCTCAGCAATGGAGCTTCAGCTCCTGAACCTTATAGAATTTATTCCAACTTTGGGTAACTAAGAAAAGCGGACATAAGAAACGGGCAATCTGTCATCAGAGTGAGTGGAGCTCTCAGTGCTTGAAGTGTTTGTTTCAAGCCTCAGGAGCAATGAGATAGAGGTAATTTGTTAAACGTATTCCAAGGTACAAACCTACAGCAGAGGAGAAAGTTTTTCCGATCTCCAATTCAGCAATCTGCTTTTTGGAGAGGGACACATGCCGGCTCATCCTCGGGGCATTTGTATATAAAGATCCCGATGCCCGAAAGTGTTGCAATGTCAAAAGTTGAGATCCCCACTCAATCTCGCTGTCGTTCGACACTTCGCTGGACACTGAGCAGCATTCACTGCTCGGGCTGTAATGAGACAGCACGGGCATTGAGAAATGGCTGCAAGACAAACACCCGGTTTCTGATTAGAAAACACCCAGTCCCAACTAGAAATGCTTTATTATAATTATTCATTTATTCCATGGTTTTCCGAGATGGTATGCCTGGGACATGGTTTTCCATTGTTGAAAAATTGTTGGCTTGTTTGGGGCTAGCTATGCTTGACCTACATCAAAGAGCTGACAGACGCGGCCTGGTTTCGGCCGGTGCCGCCCCGCGCTCCGGTCCCCGAGGGCTCCCCAATTGAAAAGCGCTGCGGCCGACGTGCTGCACGAGGCGCGGTGCTTGGCCTTGAAGCCAGCGCGGGCCGTTTGAGACACTCCCGGTCGTGGCACCGGTTGGCACCGGTTGTTGCAGCGCGGTGCTTGACCGAGCTAGACTGGGGCACGGTGCACGCCATGGGCGTCCTGCCAGGAATCCAGGAGCCAACGTGAACAACAAAACAGCAGCAACAACCGACCGACCGACCCAACAAACAAACAATCAAACAAACAATCAATCAAACAACCACCACCAACAACAACAACTACTACTACTCCGACTACTACTACTACTACTACTACCACTACGACTACGACTACTACTACTACTACTATTTCTACTACTACTACTACTATTACTACTACTACTACTATTACTACTATTTCTACTATTTCTACTACTACTACTACTACTACTACTACTACTACTACTACTACTTGTGACCCTGGCGGCTTGTCACGGTCACACTTAGACGGGTCGAGACCGCTGCGCAGGCAGCGAGCGCAGCTGTTGCGCTTGGTATTACTGAGGAGGACGAAGGCACTGGGGAGATATGCCGAGGTGGTCAGGCAAAGGGGCACTTTAGTTGGAGCCATGTTAAGCACCACTAACTGTCGATCTTGGTGGCATGAAGTCACGTCACACGCTTCGTCCGCATAGGTGCAGGGCCAAGTGGGGGCGCAGGGGTGCAAGAAGCATCCTTTAATGCAGGGCAACTGTGGGACATGTGTGTTGCTCCTTTTTCTTGAACAACAATCTTAGAGGCACCACCTTCTTTTTTGGGGGTCAATCCCAGGAGCCTTTTGCCCTGCCAAGGTCTAAAGATGTTGGTCCAAGCTTAGTCCAAACTACCTCTACTGGGGTTTGAGGTCGGCCTCCAAAGCTTCGGGTCTCTTGAAGAACTGCCCACCTCCCGATGTTGGTGAACCTGATGTGCCGGGCCAGACCATCCGCCTGAGACCGCAGGCACTCCAGCCAAGCAGATTAACACCACCAGCAGCGGCGAGCAGCTGGTCGAGGAACCTCCTCTCGAGCAAAAGGGTTCGAGCTGACGAGGGGCGATGCCCAGGGTGTTTGAGGATCAATCGGCCGGCTACCCTAGCATGGGTTGACCGCTATCATCCACATACTAGATGATCTAGATGGACCCTTGAAGAAACAAAAGAAAGCAGCAACAATGTTTGAGTGGCAGTTCCTGAGTAAGAACATGCTGCTCCTGCAGAGCAAGTGGCGAAGCATTTGGAACCCCAGCATTATAGGATGACGAGGATGCTGACTTCTCTAATTGGGGCGACCGAGCTAGTGCCAGGGACAAGGGATGGTGTACGGTGGGTGTTCTAGAATTATACGCCGGTTGTTTAGTTAGGCCATTCAGTGTCCAGTACCTGTTGAAGTGGCCGGAAGATTACGGAGGATTTGTTGTTTCCACGCTATGATCCATAGTCAATATTTCATCCCGCCCCACCAATCAGGTAAATTGCCTGCAAAGCACACAACGTGATGGACATGCAGGGGGTCAAAGAACTATGTTGAACGGGTGTTTCTCTCCATCTCTGCTTTTGCTTCTGTTTCTCCCCGCGCCCCGACCGCCGACCGCTTCACAGCGTGGTGAGGAGCTTCTATCCAACAAGAAGCTGACGCACGAGGTCCGCGCACTTCCAGGGGGCGCGGAAGTGGACCACGCCGGTTGTGGGTGCCCTGGAGGTGGCTCACCCCCCCCGCGGCGACACCTCTGGGGAGACCCGAAGACCCCCCACCCAGAGGGTTTTTGAGGCAGGCGTTCAGGAAAGGAATTCGATCCCACGAGCCCCATGGAGCTGAAATGGACCCATCGAAGTCGGCGTGTCGGGTGCATCGCAGCGTGGTGTGTGCAGCGTGATGGTTGGTGGGAAGGATGAGAAAGGACAAGAGTCA